ACTAAATAAAATATAATACTCAAATGGCAAGTACAGGGCTCTGGGTGGTGTGAAAGATGCCCGGCATCCAGATTTTCGGTAAAAGGCAATGTCTGTGCTGAGGCTTGTGTTTCATCCATGGAACGATCAACAGTCTGGGCAGGAAGGCATCATGGGGACCTGGGGTGAGGAGGGAAGAGAGAAAATGGTTTGACAGAGTGTCAACAAACAACTTGGAGTGACCAAGAAGCGGGAGGGCCTGAAGCCACAATTAGGCAGGCAGAACGCACTGGGGAGTTTGCATTCAAAGTGGCAGAAGCTCCTTGACCAGTGTCCAGGAAGGGAGCGGCACTCTCAGTTCCCGCTTTAGAGAGGACAGCGTGGAAGAATCGTCTTTGGCCCTTGGACTCTAGGCAACCCTGACTACATGCTTCATGAAGATCATATAGCAAGTGTGTTACCATCTATAACCTCTACTGTGACTCTTTTCTTTAACCGATGAGCTAGCTGACTGGGAACCAACAAACCAACCCAAATGTACATTCTAGAACTGGACTCGAATCAAAGCACTATTTCTTAAATGTACGTTTAAGTGTTTGAATTTCTTTCTTGTGCCAAATCTTTTATCCCTTAATTTTTTTCTATGTGGGATATGCTTATGGTCAATCACTCATGTGACTTTTCTGTTTTTCCGATGCATGCCGCCTCTGCCACACACAAACTCTTCAACTGTTTTGACTTCCACAGCCAGAAAGTGTAGTCTTGGTTCTGAAGGTAAAGTGCATGCCTACTGTCTGTTCATGTTGCTGTCTGTCAGTGAACAGTGTTGTCGTCATCGTTAGCTCTTCCTGTTCTTACCGATTGTCTCCCTGTGGTAGTTTTAAAGTTATTTGTTTTGCCTGTATTTCTGCCACTATATGTAATCTTCAAGATCATCTACAGTGTACTCAAAGATCACGGCCCATCAAAAATAATCTACAATTTGCTAAATCCTGGTCAGACTATGGCCTAAGAAGTTAACTTTGAAAATGGTGCATTCTAGGTCAAGGAATATAGCCTCAGGGTAGAGTACTCGCCTTAGCATGGGTGAGACCCTAAGTTCAATTCCCAGCACTATGGGGATAAAACAAACAACAATGTGTTTGCGCTCCTGACATGGTTGGTGTGTAGTCAATAACTTGGGAAGGCTGTGTGTAAATTATATTTTTGGAGCTCAAATTAATGTACTATAAACATTTCAATCTATTTTCTCTCCTGGGTTTGGGTTCAGTGTCTCCTGGAGTTCAGAAAGTATTTTAAATTCCTTAAAAACTAGTAAGTAATTATGACTATTTTCTGGGAAATGCTAGCAAAATATGTAAGTATGTAGGAATTTGGAGTGTCTGGGTTGGTTTCTTAGTTAATTGGCTAATGATATTAGTCCTCAAGGTTGTATTAAAGTATCAGTTAATAATGGATGCTCATGGACCAGGAGGAAGGGGCTAAGCATACACATAACTTGATGAATACAGCAAAATTCACCAACTTTTTTCCCTTTTAGCATTTTAACCTTACTGTTGAAGTATGTATTTTTCAAGTATTGTATGTATCTGATTTAATATGTGAGCATTTGTTCATAGAGTTAATTACTATTTTTTATTTGAATGTTTTGCCTGTGTTATGTAAATACCTATACTACCATGCCTGTGGAGGTTGGAAGAGGGTGTTGTATCCCCGGGAACTAGAGTTATAAACTGTTGTTAGCCACCATGTGGGTGCTGGGAACTGAACCCCAGTTCTCTGCAAGAGCAGCCAGTACTCTTAACCAGTGAACCGTCACTCTAGCCCTAAGTTAGTTACTGAGTTAGTTACTGTTTCTTGAGTATTTACTGTGAGCTGCCCCCCTGTCTAGTACTTTTTGCATTGACTCATGCACCTATACCTCGGGGTCCCCAAGCCCATCAGGCCTGAATTGTGGTCACTGCACCATCACAGCTCACCGTCCCTCACATTGTGCTTATGAGTATTGGTCCGACACACTCCAGTTAGGGAACCAGGAGCCTGGCATTGGGATTTAAGCATCTCCAGTCCTCATACTTTTTTCTGGTGATGTTATCAGAGTCAGTTGGACCATTTAAGACAAGGAAAGGTGTTGAAGCAAGGAGGGCACTGTCCAAAGAGCCAGCTAGATGGGAGGGTGGCAGATTTGCCACCAAGTTCATGGGCTGGAAATTTATAAGTGGTCATATAGGCATTTGGTAGGGGTCCCCTGATTGGTGGGTGCCATCTAATGACAAGTGGCCGGGGGTATGCATGGTCCCGATCTCCTAGTAACCAGATGCTTTTTAGTTCTGCACATTTCAAGAACAAAGGTCATTGTTTTCTTGGGCTATTTCTGTCACTGCATATTCCACGGTGGGCAGGCTGGTGGGATGCGCTGCCCTGAGCCCTCTTCCTGATTACCACCATCATGGTAAAGAAAGAAAACACCGGTTACCTGACTACTATGGAAAGACAAAGTGGGGTTATTAAATGGGGCGTTGGATGTGAGGTCTGGTTCCTGGGCATGGCTTCAGGAACAAGATTAATGAACTATATCCTTCTGCTCATCTCGGCTTCTACATCCAGTGCAGTCTAACTTGCTCATTAATTACCAAGGGAAAACTTGTGATTTTTCTGCCATTCTCTGGAAATACGAGTGAGTTGGGGCTGAGGATGTAGTTTTAAACCAGGCATGGTGACTTATATCTACAATTGAACTCAGGAGGTAGAATTAAGGGGATCAGAAGTTCAAGGTCATCCTCAGCTATACAGTGAGCTTGAGGCCAGCCTGGGGTACGCAAAACCTTGTCTCAAAACAGAACAGAACAAAACAGGGGTCTGGAGAGATGGCTCAGCAGTTAAGAGCATTGACTGCTCTCGCAGAAGACCTGGCTTCAGTTCCCAGCACCCACATGGCAGCTAACAACTGTCCGTAATTCTAGTTCCAGGGGATCCAAGGCTCTCTTCTGGCCACAGACGTTGCACACATGTGATGCACATTCGTACATGCAGGCAAGACATTTATACAGATAAAATAGAAATAAATTTAAAGGCAAAACAACAACAAACAAATACACAGTAAAAAAGAAGACCATGAGTGACTTCATGGTGCATGCATTGGAATGAGGTCACATTTTATCTCCAGGTGCCTTATTCCGTTTACCTAGGGTAAAGCCGCAGCAGGCGAGTGACAATGTATTACAGTCTCATGATTCTATCTGGAAGTCGTACTGGATCCTGGGAACTCGGGACCTGAGTGGGCAAAGGCTGCTAAGGTCTTCCTCACGAGTGGCACTGGGAAGCTCTGCTTATTAAATGTACCCATAGCTGACCACGCGCTTTCTCTTTGATTGTACATCATCTGTAGTTTTCACAATGACCCAACAAGAGAGAGGCTGGTACTCCCAGTGTGTGCACTGAAAAAAGCTAGGTGTCCTGCATTTGACTCCCTCTGAAAGTCTAGCCTTTGTTCTAAATCTAGATAGCTGATTATTTCATAAACATCAAGTTTGTCCCTAATTGATCCACTGAAACGTGGTTCAGATCTTTCAAAAGGTCCACTTGTCCCATCTTCCTGTTGTAATGCATCCTGTATGTGGATGATCTGCTATGCAGAGATTTGAGGTTGAAAATAAACGACTTGACCTTGTAGTTAGATGACTTCTAGGCATTTGAAAGGAAGGTTAAACTCTTGACCCTGTAGTCTCGTAACTCAGTTCTTTACTTCCTTAAGAAAGAGCTTCTTGGGGGATGGAGAGATGGCTCAACAGCTAAGAACACTGGTGGTTCTTGTAGAAGACCCAGGTTCAAATCCCAGCACCCACCTGGCAGCTAACAACTGTCCGTATCTCCAGTTCCAAGGGATCTGGCAGTCTCTTCTGTCCTCCGCGGGCATTGCATGGCATGGGTGCACTTACCTACATGCAGGCAATACATGCATACGCATTAAATAAAAATAATAAATATTTTTTAAAAAGAAAGAGCTTCTGAATGGAAAAAAAAAACCTATGTACATACACATTGTGATATAACGTTGAACAGATTTTAAAAAAGGAAGTGTGTGTGTGTGTGTGTGTGTGTGTGTGTGTGTGTGTGTGAGAGAGAGTATGTGTGGAATGTCACACTTACTGCTCTGGGTGACAGTCTGTGCTGTCTTCCGTTTGAACTGCAGGTCGCCTTCTATGAGATTGGCGTGCTGGTATGCGTCTTACTGGGCCTGCTGTTTCTCGTTTTCATGCCACTGGTGGGCTGCTGCTTTTGTATGTGCCGTTGCTGTAACAGATGCGGTGGAGAAATGTACCAGCGACAGAAGAGGAACGAGAGCTGCCGGAGGAAGTACTTTGCATTGTCCCTCCTGGTGATCTGTATGCTCATGAGGCAAGTAAAATCTCAGAGCAGAGCTGATGTAGGGTGTTTCAGGGTGATGGGGAATGTCTCCTTCTAATTAGTAAGCCCATAAGTTTTATTTATTTATTTTTAATATTTTTACTTATTATTTTTATTTTATGTGTCTGAGTATAATTCCCAGATGTAGGTAGGTGCACCTGTGTTGTGCAATGCCCATGGAAGTAGACAAGGGCTTTGGATCCCCTGGAACTGGAGTTACAGATGGTTGTTAGCCCCATGTGGGTGCTGGGAATTGAACCTGGGCCCTCTGCAAGAGCAGCCAGGGCTCTTAACCACTGAGCCATCTCTCCAGACTGAGTTTGTTTTATGTATTCATTCATTTATATTTTTTATTTTTGAGACAGGGTCTCAGTAAGTAGTGTAGGCTGACCTTGAACCTATACACAGTGAGGACGATAAAAGTCCTGGCCAGGCTTGAACTCTCCACACTCCTGCTTTAGCCTCCTGAGTGCTAGGATTACAGACACGCTCCACCAAACCCAGCTACCCTTGAGTTTAAAGTAAAATAAAAGAACAGCAACAACAGAAGCAAACAAAACAGAGGGCAGCAGAAGCGTTCACTCAGGATGGTGATTTGGAAAGTTTCCACCATCACTGCAAGTTAGCACAGTGCAGAAGCTTAACTAACCCAATGAGCCGCCTTATAATGGATGTCTGCGTAAATTTGTATGTGTGTGTGTCTGTGTGTGTGTGTGTGTGTGTGTGTGTGTGAGTGTGTGTGTGCGCACGTGCGCTGCAGGGGCTGTCAGTGCTCTTAATCACTGAGCAATCTCTCCAGACCCCATGAACTTTATAATAATTTTTAAACCCACTTTTCTTTAATTTGCTGCTTAATTCACTAACCCCTTTGAAGTCTAGAGTGCACTTAATAATTTAGGGTGTTTCTACTGTCGTCTCTACTGCTGATGAGTTTTCCAGTGATGGACAGATCAGAAGTACACCTCTTTTTAAATATTTGATTGATTATTTTTAAGTTTTTGTGTATGCATATATTGCCTGCATGTGTGTAAGGGCACCCATGTCATGCAATGCCTGCAGGAGTTACAGACAGTTGTTAGCTACCATGTGGATACTGGGAACCAGTTCTCTCCAAGTGCTCGTAACCATTGAGCAATCTCTCTAGAAACGTGCCCCTTTTAAAGGCTCTTTGGTTGGATCCAAATTGATTCCACACCTGAAAAATGTGCATCAGGACACTGGTTCCCTTGCTGTGATTTTTTTTTTTTAGTATTGTTTCACATTTCTTCATTTATTCAATGAATATATTTAGACATTTAAAATTACATTCTTCTTTATTGTGTATGTGGGCAGGTGCATGTGTGCCATGGTGTGTGTGTGTGTGTGTGTGTGTGTGTGTGTGTGTGTGTGAGTAGTGGGTTCTCTCTTTCTACCATGTAGGTTCCAGGGATTGAGCTCAGGTTATCAGATTGGATAGCAAGCACCCTTACCGGCCAAGCCATCTTGCTAGCCCTCAATGAGTATTTCATACATGAACAGAAATGAAATGAAGCATTTATCACATGCATGATGCTGAGCCTGAAGATGCAGGCACAGGCTTAACAGCTAGCATTCTACTTGCCTTTCAGCAAACATTTGCTCAGCAGCTGAAAAAAATTTCCAGTTTGAGTAGGTGAGAAGTAGAACTTTAAACACAAAGCAGCAAGTCCTCTTAGTTGAAGTTCCAGCTCAAACCCAGAGGAAAATGCTTAAGTGTAGTCCTCAGTGAGACTGGCCAAGGTGCATGGCTTGAGTACACAGGCATTCATGGGATGCAGGCCCTTGAAGGCCTCAGCAGCTCTAGATCTGTCTGCAGGAGAGAGGAAGGGAACAAAGCAGATTGCAGACCCTGATTACAACCTGGTAATTGATCAAAACAGAAGGAGAAAGGCACAAACACTCGGTTATATTTGCAAAGAGTGTCTGTGAAATGACTGACAAGCAGGCAAGCCAGTGGTTGCCTCTGGAAAAGAAGTTGAGAATTGCCAGGGAAAGGTGGGGGTGGTGACTGAGCTGCTTGACTCCTGAGTTGCTGTAACAGGCTTGGCATTATCATTTGAATTAATTAAAACAAATTAAATGCGAACAGCAAAGAATCCTCATAACTGACAAAAGCCAGTGTTTTACCACTCATCCCAGAACAGTGATTATTTAAGCAAAGATGTGAAAATAGTGGAATCCTAGATATTAACAGTATACTAATATGTGCATAAACAGGACCGAAGTATCCGTACCAGTTAACCTCCTGCACTTCTGGTGACCCGGAGGATTTCCTTGCGTTCTTGCTGTGAACTTACAGTGTCCACATCTTTTCTCCATCTCTGTCTTTTTCTATTTCTGTGTCTGGCTGGCTGACTCTCTACACGTAACTCGAATCTGTTACTTCCCTGGATTCTGAAAAGCATTTTCGAATCCAGTCAATGGTAATTCCAGATGTCCATGTCTCTCTCTGCTTCCTTTTGAAGTCTTCTTAGGAATGCACTGACCCCTGCTGCTTGGGAGGATAGTAACCTCCTGCTCAGGGACCAAAAGAATGTCAGTTACAGGCCAGAGACCTGTCAGAATCAACAGGGGTCCCCAGCATTTCCCTGAAGATGTGGTTCATTCATCCACAGACTTGGCAAGCCCTGTTTCTCATCTATGCATCCTAGACATCAAAGACAGCTTCAGAACAGGAAGTGCCATTTGGACACTTTGCCTTTAAGGCCTCTTGTTAGAATGATCACTTACTTAGCAAGTTAATAACTTTTGCTTGATGTAAATATTTATGTCATACTTTCAGGGAAATTCTTTATTGTAAGAATTTATTTCCTCCATATGTAATAGTGGGTTTTCTGGGGTTTTTGTTTTTTGTTTTTTTGACTGAAGCATGTATTCCATATTGACTACTGGATTCTTCTTTTAAATTAAGACTTTTCATTTCATATACATTATGAGTTACCTCATTCTGAACTGAATTATTTGCTATGCTTACATACCAAAATATATAAACAATAGAGCTGCAAAGTAAGAAATAAACCTGGGGCCGGAAAGATGGCTCAGTGGTTAAGAGCACTGACTGCTCTTGCAGAGGACCCAGGTTTGATTCCCAGCACCCACATGGCAGCTATGAACCGTCCTTAACTCCAGTTCCAGGGAAATCCGAAGCCCTCTTCTGACCTCTGCGGCATTGCATGACACGGGTGCACTCACATACATGCAGCCTGGCTTCCATTTATATATAAAACAAGCAGGACAGCTGTTACTGTTCCTGAGATGCACACTCATCAAATGAATTTAGATAGGGTTTCTCTTTCAAGAATACATTAGTTGGGGAAATTATTTTTTTTAATCTCTAGATTCTGCTTATTTTTATTTTTTATTATTTAAATTTTTTTTAATTTATGTGTATGAATGTATTGCCTGCATGTGTGCAAGTGCATTCCTGTCATGCAATGCCCACATAGGTCAGAAGAGGGGTTAGATTCCTCTGTAACTGGAGTTATCTATGGTTATTAGCTGCCATGTGGGTGCTAGGAATCAAGCCTGGGTCCTCTGTAAGACTAGTCAGTGCTCTTAACCACTGAGTCATCCTCCGAGCCACCAAAATCTCTAGATTCTATAGTCTTCTATACATTCACTTAAATTATTCCCCATCCAAATACAATGTTAGCTTGCAAATCATAATTTTAGATTTCAGTAAAATTAGCCAGAGCTGATCCACTGTTTGAGGTTGTGACACACTTAAAACTAGCTTGATTTCACATTGTATATTGAACTTACGATATATAAAATATTAAAATAACTGAGAATAGTGGATGGGGTGTGTTTTTTGGTTTTATTTTTTACTTTAAATTCAGACAAGAAATATAGACTTCTTTACCTTGTACTTCTCCATTTACTGTAGATATTTCAATGTCTTTCCTCTTAAACCTTCACCAGTTTGCAAGTATCCTGAACATCGTGACTGGATAATAGCTCAATATTGTTTGTAAGCAATCAAAGCTAGCAAAGGTTCGAAACCTGGGGTAAGGTGGCTGGAGCCATGACTCAACAGTTAAGCGATGACTGGCTGATTTTGCAGAGGACCCGGGTTTGATTCTGAACGCCCACATGGTGGCTAACAACTGTCCGTAACTCCAGTTCCAGGGGCTCCAACATCCCCTTCTGACCTCTGTAGGAACTGAACAACGTGGGTACACTTACATACATGCAGGCAAAATACTTATAGACATAGGATAAAACTAAAATATTTTTAAAAGTTTAAAAGCAGGAGGAAAGTGAAGATTTCTATGTTAGATTAAATGAAGAGGGATGAAATCATGTCACCAAAATCAGAAGATTAAGTAAAAACAAAAGTTGTAGCCTGGGAGCCCCATTAGAAAACAGACAGAATGAAGATCCTGTTAGTGGACTTCTGATTTTACACAGGCCTCCTAGCTCATGTTGACTTCAGCAGAAGTTGGATATAATTAATATACAATTTTGAATGTGATTGAAAAAATTCTTGCACAAATTCAGAGTATGCTGCTTGCCTTTTGAACTCAATCCCATTCTTGATTCCAAGTCTTATAACTCTGTGCAGTTGTTTTAATATTAGCCTCTACTACTCTGCTTTCCATGGTCTTCCTTTTTATTTCAAGTTTTTCAAGCTGCTTTTGTTACCGAGAAAGCCTTATGTATTGAGGGAAAAGGTTCCTTAGCACTGGGGGGCACATGTGGTCACCTCTTTTCCCTTTCTGAGCTTTTCCAAAAGGCAGCTATGGAATGTTAGAATCCTGGGACCTGGCCACATGTTTCTGTAGTCTGTGTGATCATTGGCAGAAGACTGAATTTCCACCCCTTGTGTGACTGATTCAGCAGATGTATTTTACTCAGAAAAACCCAACTCTTTTCTCTTTTCCTTTAACTTGTCATCACTACATTTTTCAGAATTTCCAAAAGGCTATTTAAGAATAGTTTTACCTGCCAACTTTAAAACAAAATATTTTATTTATTATTTTTATTTTATGTGTATGAATGTTACGCCTGCATGTAAGTGCACCCGTGTCCTGCAGTGACCACAGAGGACAGAAGAGGCCGTTGGATCCCCTGGAACAGTTGGCTGCCATGTGGGTGCTGGGATTCAAACCCGGATCTTCTGCAAGAACAGTCAGTGTTCTTAACTGCTGAGCCATCTTTCCAGCCCCTTAACTGCCAACTTGACTTGACACAGCCTAGAGTCACCTGAGAAGGGAGTCTTAACTGTGGGATTGGCCAGATCAGAGTGGTCTGTGGGCAGGTCTATGGGGGAACGTCTTAATAGTTAATTGATGTAGGAGAGCCCACTGTGTGCAGCACCACTCCCTGGTCAGGTAGTCCTGGACAGTACATGAAAGCTAGCTAAGCATAATCCAGGTAGCAAGCCATTAGAAACCATTCTTTCATGGTTCCTGCCTTGACTTTCTTTAATAATGGACTATAATCTGGAAGTGTAAGCCAAATAAACCCCTTTCTACCCTACACTAGTCTTGATTACAGTGTTTTATTACAGTAACAGAAAGGAAATTAAAATACCAGCCATGCCTTGATTTGTATGTATTTCTGAGTTTCTGGGTTCTATAAGTCAGCTTTGCTAATGATAACCCTGGTGAACTGAATCAAAATGGTCCTCAGGAAGCTGGCTACCTTCAAATTTCTTTTCATAGTAGGACATGATTTTTAGTTCCTGACCTCGAAGTTAAAAGATTCTAAGAAAAACAAATTGAGCTATGGTATACTTGAATATCATGAACCTTTTGTTAATGTAAATGAGGGTTCTAGTTATTTAAAATTTGAGTAAGAGGCTTTTAAAAAAACAAGAGGTCAGTAACACACTAAAAGCATTTATTTGACTTTCATGGGCTAATTTCATTAAAGCAATTGAAATGGGTAGGAAAAAAAACATCACTTCAGATTTTAAAGTTTAATCTGAAAAGATTTAAATACTTAGTATGTGAGGATTTTTTCCTCCATAAAATGTAGACTTGTGAGGCAGATGTAATCTAGAATAAAAACAACTATTTTCTGCTTAAAAATCATAGTCATTTCTTTGTACTGTGTAAAAGCACCTGTTCTCATAGTTTAACAGCGTTTATGTGAAGCGCTGGGAAAGGTGTATTCAACGAGTTTTTACTCATTTTTTACATTCGATACATTTCTCTCAGTATCCTCATATTCTAATAGTTGGCTGGTGACTCTTAAATATAGGAACATTTCTTTATTTATGTGGCTCTAATTTTTGCTTAAATATACATTGAACAGCAAGAGTGTCTAAATCAACAACAAAAAGCATTATTTATAATCTATTTTGTTTAAATGGAAAGTTGAAATTAGAAGTCATGAATGGAAACCCCAAGTGGTCTACATAATATATTTGCTAGTGTTTACAAACTGGGAGAGTTTACATAAGAATACAGATGTGCAGATGTTTGTGGATAATCTCAAGTTTTAGTAATAGTCTGCCTTCTTGGCACTTGGGAAAACTTCAGAGAAGTGACTCTTCCCCATCTTAGATCTCCCAGGTCTCATAGTTCTGAACCACCCAGGTTCCCCTGTCCATTTGGACTTGTCACTTTTAACAAACATAAAATTCACACTGAATATCAGTTTTGAAAGATACTGAATTTGGCTATAGAACTCAGTGTAGCACAGGTTTTTGTTTCAGTTATCAATACATTATTTTGGTTGTTTCCATTACTGGTTAGCAGAAGCATAGGCCCTTCTAAGTTATGTTATTGAAGTTCAGTGTTGTACTGAAGTGTCATATTGCAGTTTATTTTTCTGACAGATCATGTTGTGAATAAAGTCTTTATATAATAGAGAATAAGAATAGCTTCTGACTTCAAGACCCTGAAAATGCGGCTAGTGTTCTAAACAGACCAAGTGAAACAGAAAGTGCAGTCCTTAAATCCATTTCCTTCAAGTACCCTGTGTTGGGACAGACTGCATTATGTAAAACTGACAGGGAGGCAGTTACCACCCTTTAGGGACATTAGACATAGGTAGAAATAAAGACAAACCCAACCAGGGAGTGAGACACCTCCTTCAGAGAGCCTTCTGGAAGTGTATAGCAAGCAAGTTTGTCCCAAGGGTTGAGGGTTGAGAGGAAGTGGTGGACTTCCCAGTTCACTTTGACTTCTTATATGACCAAAGGGTCTGCAGCACAGAGGAATGACTGAAATAATTTGGGCACTCTAGGCACAGAACGCAAGAGCTGGAGGTGCCCCAGGGTCAATATTAGGTCTACTGGGGGATGATCCTGGCTCACTGTGGCATGGAATGTTTGAAGTTGGCTTAGTAAGTAAAGATCCTGGCAAACTGCTGGATTTCAACTTTTGTTTGTACATGTGTGTGTATGTGTTTCTTCTGCATATGACTCTAAAAATCATTTTGAGCCATTTGGTCAAACTTGGAACTAGAGAATCATTCAATAATGGCTATTATTGAGGCATAATGCCTGCTCCATGAACAAATGGAAATTCAGGATGAACAGTAATGAATTATAAGGCTGTCACTCCAATGGTACAGAATATTTTGTGTTCATTTTCTGAGGCTGTCATCAGAAAGAACCCTAGCCTAAAGATAAGTCTCGGTGAATTGTGAATCTAGACATGCAGAAGCCCCTGTCCCTTGCAGCTTGGTTCTCCTGTCCCTTCCAGCTTGAAGCCCCTGTCTCTTGCAACTTGAGTATTGCCTATCCCATCTGGTTTATAGAATTAGATCTAAACTGACCTTCACCGCTTTGAGATGCTGACTTAGTCTCACAGAGGAAATGTGACGTTTGAAAACGGTCTTTGCACAGTGAGGTGGCAGAGGTAGAGCCAGGCCCTGTGTTCCTCCTCTAGTACTTAGTCCACTGCATCCATTAGCCAGAAGCTGCTCAGTGTCTCAGTGTCACGTATCAGAGACAAGTTAGGGTCTGTTTGGGAGCCTGACGAACCTGCATTACAGCTGTTGGAAGACAGAGTTGAAGTGAGAAAATCAATGAGCTAACCTCCTCAGGACGCAGCAGTACTCCTGGGGGGGGGGGGGTGGATGACTGATCACATTTCCCCAGGACTCAGAGTTTTCCTGGAGACATGGGGTTGTCCAATGTAAAGAGCAGGGTGCCCTTTACATGTATATGTGCCCTGTATATATATATGCATGCAAAAAGCCCAAGAAAGAACTTTTGCCTAATAATGCATCCATTTTATATGTTTTTCCAAGGTTTGCCTGTTATTTGCAGAACTTCTTTAAAAACACGCACATTGTCATTGGATGGTTATGATACTGGTGTTTTGGTTGTGTAGGTAATGCGTGTTCTGCTCTTCATGCATTCCTTGCTGCCCCCTAGTGGTCAAATCCAACATGCCCATGAGTTCGCCCTTTTTTTGTGTTTTTGAGTCAGGTTCTCCTGTGCAGCCTTAGATGGCCTAAGACTCTAAATGTTGGGATTACAGGTGTACTCCACCACACCCGGGGGCAGTTAACTCTTAAAGTTTAAAATCTGAATACTGAATACTGAGAGGGTCTGCCACAACAAATGAACCAGTTAGTGTAATTTAAATGAAAAGAATTGATAGCTGACAAACACTAAGAGGCTTAATATGATTAAATTTAGGCATTTGAGATGACTAAAAGTTTTAAAAAAATTTTCACATAGGGTAGTCTTTCCTGCAAGATGCCTTTTGTGAAGCATTTTTGAAGTTTTTTGTGAAGTGTATTTTACATGGAGCAAAGTCTCCTTTTCATAAATTCATACCCAGAAATTTCCATGAAGGAAACAGAACTGTGAAAAGATCAGTCTGCCTTTAGCCACTCTTTGGATTAATATCCACAGGGATTTTAGCACCCCATTTTGCTTGTTTTTATACCTTATATAAGTGAATAGCAGGCATGTGTGTAATGGTTAGTTGTTATGGTCAACTTTACACAAATTCAAATGACCTGGGAAGGAAGTCTCAGTGAGAGTTGTCTGTGAACCTGTGGACATATCTGTGGGTTGAGAGCCTGTCCACTGTGGGTGGCACCATTCCTCAGGCAGGTGATTCTGCATTGAATCAGTGGAGAAAGCTGCATTGAATCATGGATGCATTCATAAATTGCCCTCTGCCCTTGACTGTGGATGTAATATGACTAGAGGCTTCAGGTCCAAATTGTGAGCCAAATAAACCCTTTTTCTCTTAACTTGCTTTTGTGAGGGCATTTTACTACAGCAACGGGAAGTGAAAGGCTTCTCCTGTATGCTTTCATGCTAAAATAACTCATTTCCTTTGAATCGGGACAATATAGAAACCGACAGTTAAGTCAAAACCACTAGGAAGTCCCAGGTCACTTTTACCATTTTGATATTTTTCCCTTGTCTTCTGGGGTGGAAGGGAGGAAGCACAGCGTCAGCAGAGTGTCTGTGTGGGCTCAGGAGGGTATGCATGCTGTATACACACATGCATTTGGCCTGAAGCCGGACTCACCCCTCCACACTGCATGAAACCTGCATAACTTTCATTCCACCATTTGTTGGGACACGGTTCGTTTATGGGAGTCATTTCACACACAGTACTTTATCCTACATGGAGGCTGGACTTTGGAGATGCCTCATTCCTATTTTGTGCCCCCATTTTGGTGGTGTCCTGACTGTGGGCTTAGCAGGAGGGGAGAGTGGTGGCTCTGTGGTTCTTGCAGTGCCAAGGATGGTGAATCATGGCAAATGCCCTTTCTCCTCTTTCCCTACAGCCTTGGGATCATGTTTGCCTTTGTGGCCAACCACCAGGTTAGGATCCTGATCCAAAAGACAAAGGATGTGGCAGACAGCAATTTCAGAGATTTTCAAGTACTCATAACTGAAACCCCAAAGGTAAAACCCTCAACCTGCACCTCCCATGACACTCGGTGTCTCTGCTGCCCTGAGTCCCTGTGTGTGCATTTAGAAATTTACGTGAACCTTCTAGTAGGCTGGAGAATCCATGTAGACAAGCATTGCCCTTTAATATTGTAGATGAAGAAATGTAGCTCAGAGAGTGGTTTTCAAAAGCATAGTTTTCCATAGCTTCAGTATTTAATTTTTTATTTTGCTTTAATTATCTTATTCAGGTGTTACAAAAATCACATATTAAAGTACCTAATAATTTTAAGGTTTTTTTTTTTTTTTAAAGAGTTGTTGGATGTTATCTTTTATTTTTGGTGGTACAGTTAGTTCTTCATCATTTATATAGTGACCCTGATGATGGAAAAGCTTTTGTTTTATACACACCCATTTGCTATCTGTTCGGGTGTGTCAGTCTTCTTTAGAAGGATACACACACACACACACACACACACATGCGCATGCGTGCGTATAATTTTGGAACTAGGGAGTAGAATGGCTGAAGGGCAGCAATGGAAAAGCTTCCTACTTTATTTTGTCTGTATCCCAGGAGTGTGTTGATGTATTGCCTATTGAGAACCAAGTTTGAAAAGTGTCTGGGCAGGAACACACCCAAGTGTGTCATGCTTGTGGGTACCAACATCAGAAGGAAGACCACCCTCTTAGGTTCAGTGGGAAGAGGCCCCTAGAACCATGGAGTCTTACACAAGATGTGGTCTTCTAAGTAGATTCTATTCTAAAATTACTAGGCTTTAAGTCTGCTGTCTATATGTTTTTTAAGTACCTAGAAATAAAGGAGAATCAAATGGAGACTTTTTAACATAGTAAGAACAGAGAAGTTAGCTCTATGCATGGTTTCACAGCCTGTCCACAAATGGAAATGCTTCCTTTGCCCAAAATGTAAATAAAAATCATTTTTCTTATGTTACATTCTGAAGTCTTCAAAGAACCGCCCCCCATAATATTGAAGAAATTAGCAATGGTGGGTTGTGAAATTTTAAGATAGCTTTCATTATTTTAAAAAGATAGTAAATTCTTGTGACTTTGGGTAGATTTACCTGGTCGATTACATATGAGGACCTCTAACATATGAAAATCAGGCAGAGAATTGGATAGGCAATTGATAGATGAACTATTAACTGGTCCCTAACAGAGTAAGACTTTTAACTTTAGCAACTAAAGAAGTGAGCATTTAAATACTGATGCTATCCACTGGGAATACTGGCAATAGTTCATTGAAGAATTCACTAACCCAGTCTTGCAGAGGGAGTAGGAGGCAGGTGAACTGAGCCATTGTAGAGGACTGACAAGCAGCCCCTTCAAAGAGTAGTCACTAATAGTACAATGGACTGGGAGTGCCAGGCTTCAGATGGCTGCAGATTCTCGGTGGTTCCTCATGCTGTGGGAGGTACATCTGATAGGTGGAATCAGGGATATCCCTGTAGCCTGTCTATGACCATTAAGACACAGTGACCATAACCTTGGGTTAGTTTGGAACTTCAGTTTCCAGGAGCACTGCCCCAACCATCTGTTAGTCTCTCTTGCTGGTGATCCTGGGGCCACCTTATAAAAAGCACCCTAGAATGGTCTCCTTAGAAGATGCAGGGTCACATGGAGAGAGTGGGCCCACCTATGCTAAATCTCCAATGTCTTTGTTTTATGACTTGGAACCTTAGAGGCTAGACATCATGTTGTTTTCTTTTCCAGCAAATCGAGTATATAGTGTCTCAGTATACCGCCACCAAGAACAAGGCATTCTCAGACCTGAACAGTGAGTAGCGGTGAACCTTGGCTTGTGTGTTTGTGTTTTTGTTTATTTTGTTAAGGCTCAGCAGATGCCATAACCACTTCCCATAAACACAGACTAGGAAAGACAGTCCATTAAGATAAGGCAGAGACAGATAAGCCAAGTCCTAGATTCCTGACCCTTTGTCTTCTGTTACTGGATAATTGAGACTCAGCTTGTTTCACAGGCAGATGGTCTTCGTTTTTGTTTATTTTTAAAATTTCATTTAAATTTTACTTTATTGCAAAGCCTTTGCCTCTTACAGTCATTCTCCACACAGAAGAGGATGTGTGTCCCTGCCAAGTGCCCTGTTAAAATGGGCTTTAGAAATAGCCTGGCCCTGCTGTTCCCTGCCAGGCCAGGTCTCAGGAGAGTTCACACACTGCTCAGCCAAGAGGGGGACATCTGGAGGCATGTGGCATTGGCAGGATGAGGTCAGGGAGCAGTGGTAGTGGCATCTGTTATGAAGGGCCAGGGATGCTGCTTAGCATCCTACAGTGGACAAGACAGCCCCCTCCCCAAGAGATATCCAGTCCTAGGTGTCAGCAGTACATAATGGGGAAGCCCCATTTCAGGAGAGGAAGAGAAAGGGCAGTCGTTGAATTTCACAATTCAAGATGATGCACGCTGCCCGCCTAGCCCGAAGTCCTGATGGCCCCTGGGGAACACATGGGCGTGGATTTTGAAGCATATGAAGTCTCTCTACATCAAGTTGCACACATGAACAGGGTCTGGCATGGAGAATGGAACTTCCAGACCAGAAGAGGGAAGCTGTTTCCCAGGCTTGGAGTCCTGGGGTGTGAGGAGAATGTGTGAGTGCTAACTGGAAGCAGACCTGCCTTCACTGCCCCTTTCTTTGAATCCAGGTATCGACTCATTGCTGGGAGGTGGAATAAAAGATCAGCTAAAGTCCAAAGTGACCCCTGTTGTGGATGAGATCAAGGCCATGGCAACAGGTGAGCATGGTGACCAAATGACCATGAGTTCCTGGGCTTCATGCACTCACTCCCTCCGTCTTGGATTTCCCTGGGAATGGGTAGAGGTGAGAACTTAAGTCTGACCATGCACACAGGCCCAGCAAAGACACAAGCTGTCAAAACGGTTGAGTATTTTCAAAAGCTTGTACCAAAGCTATGGTACTGGAAAAAGTCATTTGAAATAACAGTGGCAGATTTGATAGGGAGAAGCCATTTGTTTTGTCAATAAAGTTTTCTTAGAGCACAGCTGTGTGCATATACTTGTGTATGACCTATGACTGTTTCTATGCTGAGATGGCAGAGTTTTAAGGTTGTTAAGGAGACTAGGTCCCCAAAGCTTGTAGGTTATTTACTCTTTGGACTTCCAAAGAAAATATCTGTTGATCCTGAAATAGGTGAGTAACCTATAGAATTTTGGGTTTTTTGAGATTGATTGATTCTTTTTCCCTTTTTCCTCCCTGAAATAAGGAGGATACATGTATCTTAGCATGCACGTGGTCAGTGATATAAATGACCAGGTACAGCTGGGACTGGAGAGGTGACTCAGTGGTTAGGAGCACTGGCTGCTGTTGCAGAGGACCTGGGTTTGATTCTCAGCATCTGAATGGTGGCTAACAACTATCTGAAACTCCAGTTCCATGGGAATTCGACACCCTCTTCTGATATCTGTGGGCTTGCGTGACACGGGTGCACTTACGCACATGTAGGCAATACACTTATACACATAAAATAAAAATTAAAATATGTTAAAAATGTTTTTTAAAAAATAGACACCTTACTCTGTTCCAAAGGCCAAAAGTGTCAAAAGTATGTGGGGGCTTGTATCTAGTCCTTAAAGGATTTTAGGGTTACCTCTTCAGAGGGGGGAATGTTGGAGGGGAGGGAGCAGACAAGGATTTGATCAAAACATCTTATATACATGTATGAAATTCTCAATAAAGATTTGTAAAAAGGACACCTTGCTGCAACAACAACCAAAAGCCCCCAGGCCCTTCCCAAGATTGAGAAAAATGCGCCAGGTTTTGAATGGAGGGAGCAGGCTCATCTATGCAAACATTTGATAAATGTGAATTGTAGTTTCATGCAGTAGTGTTTCTGGAAAGATGGTCCACAGAGGAGGGCATGTGAGGATAAGTGTGGTTGGTGTGCAACAAGACTTTTTGCCTAATGTTCTAACAATTTTAGTATTTTTAATAATACTTTTAAATTAAAAATTACATTTATTTATTGTGTGTGTGCTTGTGTGTGTGTGTGTGCGCGCATGCGCGCATGGTGCTGTGTCAAGGTCAGAGGACAACTTGTGTGAACCAGCTCTTCTGCTGTGTAGGTGCTAGGAACTGAACTTAGGTCGTCAGGTGTGGTGGCAGGTGCTCTTACTTGCTAAGCCATCTTTCCAGCCCCAGTTTTTAGTAACGAATTATATGATGTTTTTCTAGAGGAAAGGTAAACTGGGTTCTAGTTTTTCTCTTCAGTGCATCACATATTAAAGTTCTATTTTTTTAAAGGCAAGTTGAGTAAGTCAGTTAATTTAGGATCCACTGTAGCCAAAAGTGCTCAGTGAACTGTTCCAGCCTTTTGTTTTTAATTTTCAAAATGTGTTGTATCTTTATGTGCATTGTGGGCTGTGGAGAGAGCAGAAACATGCAATTACCTGCACATATCACATGTGAACTGCAGGTCAGGATCCACACACGGAAAGAGTTCCGGGCTGGTCAATTGTTAATGACCTGTGAATTTAAATCTGAAAGATCTTTTCTGCTTACTTAAGATGCATAAAGCATGGAATCCTAGAGTGACCCCTGGAGTTACAGCCTAGTAAATACATTATGGGCATAAAATGCTTTGAAGCTGTTAGAAAATATTTATTTATTACTGCTTAGTTCTTCCCAGGACATGACAGAATATTACCCAGAGCCTAGAGCATCTCAAGGCGATGACTGGGCTGGTGTTTCCTGCTCATCATCTGTCTTCCTTTGTTGTTGTTGTTGTTCCTTGAACTAAAATGACTGAAGTCAAAGTGGACAGGACAGTAAGAGATTCACTGTTGAATTAATACAGTTATACAATATTGTACTCAGTTTAAACCCTGTAAGACATAAAATTAAATGAAGTTTAACCTTTAAAAAAGATCTCCATTTCGTTATTAAAATACAGTTGCATACAGAAAAATTCATTTTTAAAGCAATTGACACTAAGATGTTTGCACATGCATTTCTAATCTCTATATATCTGATTATTATTGCTAGTCACAGTCGGTTACTTTTTTTTTAAA